GCAACAGTATTATCATCTCCACTATAATGTATTTACAAACTTTCAAGTAAACGTTTAATAGGTCAAAACTCTTGGCTAAGCACCTTCTTTAAGTTCAAGGTCAAAGTGACCCAAACTCACGGTGTTGTTCCTTTTCAAACCGTGTTAATATTCCTGCTTTGAATAATTCAAACAATATTGTACAAGACTTTTTGACACATTTGGGAAAAATGGTATAAATGGGAAGAATTTTGTAGTAGAATATGAAAATATCTTTTGGTAGGGTACAGTTTTATTAAATATATGCTTGGCGAAAAACAAAATAAATTGTTGTTCTTTTACTTCTATAGCAACCCGAAGATCCGATTAAAATTTTATAGAGAAAATTAATGAATTTGCTCCTTCAACTTATTCTTTTTATATCTTATCTTGTAGATATATAAGAAGAGAGAATAGCTTGTTTTGATTTTTGCACTTAATTGCTTGGCTACTTTTCTTTTTTCTTTCTTTCTTTTTTCAATCTTGTATTTAAGTGCTTTCTCATTAAAAACTTTTCCACTAATTTGCCCATCAACACAATTTTTTTTTTTCAAATATAACCCGAATTCAACATTTCTTCACACCATACTTTAAAATGTCATTTTTTTTTTCAAATGCATCCTAAATATATATATTTTTTAATTTACCCTTTTGCATCAAATGCTTTCTTTTTTTTTTATTTTTTATTTTCTCAAATAAATTCAACTTTTAAATCTTTAAATACTCTTTACTTTACACACACACACACACATATATATATATATATATATATAATAGGAAAGATGCATTTGTTTTTGGACTTTATTTTTTACCATCATCATACATAATATGAAATGGTATTTGATGACTTTCTAATGAGTTTACACTTTTATTTTTTTTTACAGTTTCATTGTTTGTTCTTCAATTTGAAAAATATTAATTAAGTTGACTATATACGTATTCATGTTTGTAACAATGAAAACATTTGTTAGCATGTTATACATGTTTAAGTTCAACTCAAACTATAAGTTGAATTATTTATATACTTATTTATATTTATTTTAATAAAAAAATAATTAAAACAAATAATTATAGGTATTGTCTTTAGTCCGGTTCCCGGATTGGAGCCGCACATAGAATAAAAAGGCGATTGGCCATGCCCACAGTATGAAAAGTGGACTGATATTGACTTAAAAGTTAATGTATCAGAGGGAAGTTAAGCATGTGATGACACTTATAGGAGTTAACATGGTTGAGGTCTGAGTAAGAAACAATAATATAAAAATGAGTTGAAGGCCATATTAGTCATTTTACATCTATTAGAAAATGTACAAAGGCTTAAAAAAATTGACAAATTGATAAATTTACTAGATAGACAAGATTGTAAGGCCAGATACCTATTAGTGTACATTTGTACCAAAGAAAGTGTATTTAAAGAAGTAAAACGTTGTAACATAGACCCGTTCATTTTATCGATTTGAGTTTTGCTATAATAGAAAGTTATCAGAAACAGTTACATTTAATTTTTTTGCTATAGTAAAAAGCTCTCACATAAAATCACATCTCAACTCAAATTAAAAACTCAAATCAGCAAATTAAACGGGGTTAGTTTTGTGTTTAATAAGAGGAGACATATAACTAGGCGTGTATCTCAGAAGCACAGCCTTAATGTAACAAATTTAATACGAGTTAAACAGTTAACCTTAGTTTAATGATCCCATATTTTGGGCTTCCAAAAAAAAATACAAACTTTACCGTGCATTTAATTAAACAAATATAAATGAGTAGAAATAATATGTAGAAGGCATAATGAAACGAGCATAGAGTAATGCTGGGAGTAATATACACATAGATATTCATTTAACTCAATAGTGGGAAGTAAGTAATTAGTAAACGAGGATAGCAAAATATAGAAAATATTGAAATTAATTAGTAGTAGTAAAAGTAAACAACCTTGTGATTGTTAAATTTAATTGAGTAAAATCAAAACAGAAAAGTATTAGGAAGACTACTCCATACTTAATATAAAAGCGTAAATCATTTTTTTGGTTTCATTACCACGCTTCGTTACTTTTTTTTCACCGTTTATTTATTTATTTTTACTTTCTTTCTTTTTATTTTTTATTTTTAAGGACTTTTTTTTGGTACGCTAATATATCTGTAAACCAACTTTTTTGTTTTTTAAATTTATATAAAATCACGTAAAAATAAAAAAGTACGTAAATTTAATAGTTAAAAAAACTCAACCTACTGATACATCAGTCGTACAAGAGAATCTCCCTTATTTTTAAAGCTATCCTCCAATTTCTCTCTCTCTCTCTTTCTCTATCTTCTCTACTTTTTAAGTTCTTATCTTTTTTGCCTAATTGTACGTATTTCTTTTCTCTAAAGTAGCCCTCATAAATATATTTCTTTTTTATTTTCCATTCAAATAATTTCTTTTCATAAATATTCTTGTTTATTTTTTTAAATCATCTTTCTTTAATAAAACGTTTCGTTAGTGAGTTTTTTTCTTTTTTTTTAATTTTCATTCTATTTTCTCTCTCTTTTTTCTCATCCCCTTCTTTTCATTCCTTTTCTTTTTGTCCTATTATACATTTTTTTTATTTCTCTAAATGAGACTCTAATAAATATGTTTTTCATTCTTATCTATACAATCTAGCATGCGTACGCGTACAATTTCAACTAATACGTGTAAATGTGGTAATAAAGCATTATGATTAAGCATATGAATTGACCTACTTTACCTAGACAAAGATAATAACTGAACCTAAATTTCATACCAAACGATGTTTTAAAATGCATACAAAATCAATGGAACAAAGTAAAAAAAAAAAAAAAAAGTATAAGTATGATGTCGTCACGTTTGATATATTAAAATATTACCATCACATTTTAAAAGATACCATTTTAGTACCCTGAAATCAATTTTTTAGAACAAATATTAATAAGTGATATTTTCATTCTCTTTTCCTAATTTCAGATCAAATATTTTGATGCCCGAAAATATTAGTTAATGTTATCCCTGTGTCCAAATATAAATACATGACATTTTCAGTTTTTCTTAATTTCTAAACTATTAAATAAAAAGAAAAAAACAGTATATAAAAGGACATTTCTACTTTAAAATTTATCCAACATTTTTTCTATGACCTTTTCATTTTAACAAATGTAACGTTAGTATTAACTGCCTATTAACAATCAAATGAGATCTCTATTCCTAAATAATTAGAAATAATGTCATAGTAATTGAAACAAAAACGTGAGATACAACTTATAAAATTACTCCCCACGTGGGACTCAAATAGTTTGATTAATAACCGTTATAACTATATCGATGTATATGATTGTGTATATAATATCAAGTGAATAGGCAATTTAAAAAGAAAATGAACATATAATATATGTCTAAGAGGCGCAATTTGTGCGATAAACATAAACATGAATGAAACTGACAGAGATGATTATGAATCAAGCACTTCTCTTCTATTAAAACAACACCAAGATATACTTATACTCATTTTAAATTGCATTTAATATTACTAGAGCCTACGTTATTTGTCAAATATTTTATGGCCCGTTCGATTCGCTAATTTGAGTTTTTAATTTGAGTTGAGATGTGATGTTGTGTGAGAACTTTTTATTGTAACAAAAAAATTAAATGTGACTGTTTTTAAAAACTTTTTACTGTAATAAAATTTAAATTCTAAACTCGAATCAGCGAAATGAACAGAAACTTAATAGTCCTTACTCCTCTATAAACTATTACATGCTCTTAACTTGCCCTTATAAAAATCTAGCCTTTAATGTTTTCATCCAATGGTTCAAAACAATTGCCTGACTTATCAGCCAGTTTTGGATTGTCGGATGCAAGACTCTTCCAATAATTATAATTGTTTTGTACAAATAATTTTTTTAATAAAAAAATGTATGCAAATTGTAAAGTAAAGGAAAAAAAAAAAAAAAGAGTTACAAATGAGGACGTACCTCAGCCAAGTCTCTCATGCTAGTTAATGTAAGAAGTAATATTCATACATACAAATAAAACTTATTTTTTTTTCAAAATTTCTAATGGGGCCACCAACTGTCTACAGTCAGGTCAAAGAATTTAAGGTCCATCTTTTTATAATTCAAATCACAGTTTAAATTTTATTGTTAAAATATTTTATCTTATAAAAATTTAAATTTAAATTTTATATTATAATATTTTTTTCTCATATATACAACTTAAAATCTCAACTTAAATTATAAAATAAACATATCCCAAAGTCCACCACAAATTAATATTAAAAAATATATTAAAAATTAAAAGAACTTTCTCTAATAGGTCGGCTTATCAATATAATCGGTTTCTGATCTTTAAATTTAATTAAAATCACATTAAATTAAAAAAATATACAATACAAATAAATTTTTATACTGATATAAGAGTTAAATAGTAAAAAATTATCAATATTTTATTTTTTCTACTCTCACGCGGAGAATCTCCAAAAAAAAAAAAAAAAAAAAAAAACTATCAAGGCTTAAGACCCTTGGAAAAAAATGTGAAAAGAAATATATATTTAAATTTAGTTGTTGTGTCTTCCTGTGGACCCCCAGTATTTCCAGTTCTTATTTTTATTAGTATGGCCACGTCCGAAAATTTAAATATTTGGAAATTAAAAACGAAAAAGAAATTAAGAAACCGATAAAATCAGTTTATTATTAATTACTTGAAGGGTTATTCAAATTAGGACGAAGAGGCCTTCAAATTAAAATGAGAAGAGTGGAAAATTGTAGATAAAGATAATAAAACGGTTTTTTATTTTCAAAGAATTAAAAAAAAAAAAAGAGATTTTTTTCTAGTTTTTTATATATTTTAGTTAATAAAGCCGTTTTTGCAATCATTACATATTTTATTAAAAGAAAATCATTTTATTAATCTTTTTCTTTTCTTTCTTCCTCATTTATTATCTATTTATCTTCTACCATTCAATTTCGTTCTCTCTCTCTCTCCCAGTTTCTCTCTCTATATCTCTCGTCGGATTGATCGCCGGACCTCTTACCGTCGGATATATCGCCGGCATTTCGTTGATCGTGTTCAGATGACTCTCAGTACGGACTCACCGACCGTGAAATTTCTCGGCGATTCATCTCCGAATTCGAAAGCGGTAAACTTCTTCTCGAAAACCTTGATTTTCAGATCTGTGCTCGTTTTCAGTTCCGATTGCGATTTGAATTTCTGATGCGAAAATTAGCGAGCGATGATTAGCGGATGAATCGCAAGTCCCCGGTTCTGATTTATTGGGGATATAGAGTTCTTTATGCATGTTGATCCATTATTTGGAAGAATCGGCACTTGATTTTAATCCGATCTCAAGCTCCATAACTGAAATTATAGGTTTAGTGTTAGGTTTAGGGTTTGTTATATAGGACAGTTTAGAAGAAATGTTCAGGAAAATTATGAAAGGTCGGAAGCCCTCCAAGTCCGACGCCAATGATCCTTCGCTGTTCGGTTACGGCCTGCCGGCGAATCGCAACTCCGGTTCGGTCACGACCACGAATGTGATTGTGAACCACGCATCACGCGCTGGACCGGTCGTGGTGGGGCCCAATTCCGCCACAGTAACGGGATTAGCCGTTGTGCCGCCGTCGGGCACGGTGGAGCCTCTTCCCATGTTCCGGGATGTCCCGGTCTCGGACCGCCAAAGCTTGTTTCTTAGAAAGTTGCAGATTTGCTGCTTCCAATTTGACTTCTCGGACACGCTTAAATCCGTTAGAGAGAAGGAAATCAAGCGGCAAACTTTGATGGATTTGGTTGATTTCATACAGTCCGGGTCGGGGAAGATCACTGAGACTTGTCAAGAGGAAATGATCAGGATGATCTCAGTAAATATTTTCCGGTGTTTGCCGCCGGCATCCCACGAAAATACAGGTCAAGAGGGCGGTGATCCCGAAGAGGAGGAACCGTATTTGGAGCCCTCTTGGTCGCATTTGCAGCTTGTGTATGAGTTGCTTCTTAGATATGTCGTGTCGTCTGATATTGATACCAAGGTTGCTAAACGGTATATTGATCACTTATTTGTATTGAAGCTACTGGATTTGTTTGACTCTGAGGATCCACGGGAGCGCGAGTACTTGAAGATGATTCTTCATCGGATATATGGAAAGTTTATGGTGCACAGACCTTTTATTAGGAAGGCAATTAACAACATTTTCTATCGGTTTATATACGAGACAGAGAGGCATAGTGGGATTGCTGAGCTTTTGGAGATTCTTGGGAGTATAATTAATGGGTTCGCGTTACCAATGAAGGAGGAACATAAGCTGTTTCTTGTTCGGGCGCTCATACCACTGCATAAGCCTAAGCCAATTGCGGTGTACCATCAGCAGCTGTCCTATTGCATTACCCAGTTTGCAGAAAAGGATTTTAAGCTGTCGGATACGGTTATAAGGGGCCTGTTGAAGTACTGGCCAGTGACTAATTGTCAGAAGGAAGTTCTCTTCCTTGGAGAACTTGAAGAAGTGCTGGAGGCAACACAATCTGCAGAATTTCAGCGCTGCATGGTTCCCCTTTTCCGACAAATTGCTCGCTGCCTTACCAGCTCTCATTTTCAGGTTTGTGACATTCCAACTTACTTTTTGATGGATTATGTTTATGTTTGCACTTTGAACTGTGCCTGGGGTTGTTAGTTATTCCTTTTGGCACACTTGTTATGAATTTTCTGAACTTCGCACTGCTAAGTTATTTGAGACAAGTGGCTATTATGATTCTTCTCACTCGTCTGTTTCTCCATTTTGCCTAAAGCTTTATTGCAATCAATTGTTGTTACTTTCTTTCTGCCTTACGCATATTTTCAGAGTGTATTCTATTTGTACCCTGCTCTTTCAGTTGCAGTTTCATAATAGAGGGTTTTTCTTTTTTTAAAAAAAAAGGCTTTTTAATTATTATTATTTTTGCTTCCATTCGTCGTAGAGCATTTGTTAGTTGAAAGCATAAGACAGCACAATCTGTTATTAGTGTGACATTTGGATCCATTTATGCTCACTGATTAACGTCGTGCAAACTTATTCATTACTTTTACTCTTTTTGGACAGACGTTTTTGTCTCTTATCCGTTTAAACCCTAAAGCTAGAACTTCTTAACCAGTATTTTTGTTTGACACTTATTCTTATCAATTCGTGGTATTGCTGATGCAAGTCCTTATGTGAGTCATGAGTGATACCCTGCCAGATAGGAGAATAGTTTAGTCCGTGACTCGTGGAAGGACAAAAACAGCCTTGCCCCAAGTTTCTTTTGCTCCTTTTGTTTTGGAGAGAGAGAGAGAGAACCACATTGATGCCCATAAGATTAGTTTGAAACTTTGAATCTACTTTAGGGGAAATATTCTCGTTCTTAGATTCCATTTTGGGCGGCTTGAGCTGCCAATCTCTCGGTGACACTGAAATGGGTGTTTTTCAAAGCTTCTATATTGCCTTTTGAAATAGGATTGCACTGAACAAATTCTTGATGCATATAGCTGGTGCATATCCATACTTTAGTTGATCAATATATGAAATCTCTTGCATATGTGAATTACTTACCGTATTAATGACTAATTACCAGTCAATCCGGTGTGGCCATTGTAGGTGGCGGAACGAGCCCTGTTTTTGTGGAATAATGAGCACATAGTGAGCTTAATTGCTCAGAATCGGAATGTCATATTGCCAATTATTTTCGAGGCGTTGGAAAGAAATATCCAGAGCCACTGGAACCAGGCGGTTCACGGGCTTACCGTCAATGTTCGGAAAATGTTCTTGGAGATGGACGCTGAGTTGTTTGAAGAGTGCCAAAGAGGGCACGCCGAGAAGGAGGCCAAGGCCAGAGAAGTTGAGGAGCAGAGGGATTTGACATGGAAGAAACTTGCAGATGTGGCTGCTCAGAGAAGAGGAGAGGACATGATCACAGTTTGACTCAAATTACTTGAGACGGACAAAAACTTGTGACAAAATAGGAAAGAAAATTCAAGCAACATCTTCAATCTTTCTGCTCCTCCCATTTAGATGGTATTCTTTTTTAGTTTTTTTTTTTTTTTTCCACTCTTATCTTTATATTTTTTTTTCCTTATATCTCAACTCCGATTATTAAACATATCGGAGAAAGCAGCGATAAATGTAATTTATAATGTACGAAATTTGTTAGAAACAAGCTGCAGGTTAAGAATGATATTGTGAAAATATATTTTGTATTTTTTTTTCTCTCTCATTTTGGTTCCTATCCATTTATAGGACTTGAGCAGTTTAAAGGTCTCCTCCACTATAATAAAATTAATTTATAATCTCTTTTTGTTTGTGCAAAAAATCACGGTTCTTTCTTTAATCTAGAAGATCAAAGAAAAAGCAGCAGCATGAATAAAGCTTTCTTCCTAAAAGAATAAAATTAAAAAGAAAACGAGCAAAACAATTATAACGAGTTCTAGAAGTAACTAAGGTCCCGTTCACTTCGTCAATTCGAGTTTAGAATTCGAGTTTTGCTACAGTAAAAAGTTCTCAGAAATAGTCACATCTAATTTTTTTGCTACAGTAAAAAGCTCTCACATAACATCACATCTTAACTCGAATTAAAAACTCGAATCAGCGAACTAAACGGGCCCTAAACAAACTTGTTACGAAAAACAATAGATAGGACTATAGTTTTTCAACCACCTATAAAATTAGATGTACATTCACAATTTTTTTTTTTTTTTAAGTTAATATTATACAAGATTGATTAAAGGATCTAATCAGGATGTGCTGATAAAAAAAATTATGTTAGCTGCGTCTAGTAAAATGAAACTTCGATAATTTAAAAAAGAAATACAACTTTGATGACCCAAAAAAAAAAAAAAAAAGCAAGACGTTTGGTAAATTATTTTTCAAAAATGCTTTGAATCAAAAGCAAATTGTGTTGTTCAACTATATATTAAATTTGATATAGAGGTGTATAGTAACCAAAATAGATATATTTTTATTAAAACAACGCGTTACTTCTTCATTTGTTTTTTTTTTTTCCAATGATATCTAATGAGTACTGAAATTATTTGAATGAAAAACGTATAGTACGTTTTTTTTTTTTTTTTGAAGAAGAAAGCGTATAGCATATTAAAAACTGAAGAATTTAAAGAGAAATACAAGTATTTCTCAAGAAATTTTATTTAAAAAATGTTTATATATAGTTTTTAATTTGTTACATATGGAAACAAAATACAAGGATTTGGAATTATAATTTATTGTTAAAATACTTTAATAAATTCAAATAATCATTTGTTAAGTTTCATTATTGGATGTTAATTTTGTGATCAAAAGTTTTACCAAATACCTCAATGTACATTGTTTAATAACAAAAGATATTGTATAGTATCAGATGTATTAAATACCGCCCGATAATAAAGAGTAATTTTTAAAAATACCATTAGTCCATATATTTTTATTTTTTAAATTAGAATTAGTCAAGTAGTAAATTTTTTTAAAAAGAATACTTTTATTAAATCATATATTTTTTAGCAATAGTAAATCATGTATTTAAAAAGATAAAATATATAATTTTTTCCATAATAATTTTGATAATAAAAGATAGGTCTGGAGCCCATAATTTAAATCTATCATTTATTAGTGATGACGCTCCAATTTTCTTAATACTAAATTAAAATCAATCTTCAAGATTCAGGGAAAAAAAAATTCTCAATCTTCAAGAACATTCCAAACAAGCCCTTTGTAATTTTACATAAATTTCTAATTTTTAGATTTTAGAGTTAAACCTGTTGTTTGGTTGAGGGCTGCGAAACCACAAGTGTTTGTAGTGTTTAGAGTCCCCTGCCTCTCTATCCAATACTATCCATCTCTCTCTCTATATATATATATATATATATATCAAATTTCTGGGGCTTATCTTGGCCAAGCTTCAAACAAGAAGAAGCAGAAGAAGAAGAAGAAGAAGAAAGGTCATGTCTCGAAAAGGGGGACCCACAACTTCACTTGCAAAGGACGTTCCATGGAGAGCCTCGTCCGTAAAGCCAATCCCCAAAATCCACCACTCCCCAATTCTCCGCGTCCCCAATAACCCCACTTCCAACTACGCCATTTCCATCATCAAGGTCCCAACTTTTTCTCTTCTCCTCACTTCTTTCACTTCTTTTCTTCATGGGTTTTTCTTAATTTTCTCATTTATTTTGTTTATAGAAAGATAATCCTATCGGAAATGGGTTTGCCACTGAAGCCGTGGTGGAATCAGCTGGACCCGATTGTATCGTCCCCGGTCAGACTACGCCGCTCAAATTGCTCGGCCTCAAGGTAATAAATCAAAATATGTCTTATTTAATGTATTTCTGTTTCCAAATTCCAATTTCTTTCAATTTTGAAGCTTTTTTTGATGGGTGTGCTATAATGTTCTGTGGACTTATTTTTGTTTTGCAGTCTTTTAATTTTGCCCATCTTGTAGCTTTTGTTAAGCCAGGGCATTATTGCGGAACTGAACTGGCTAATATGTTTGCAATAGAAAATAAATATATTTAAAAAATAATAGCGTCATTCTTTTTGTTACTTTCGTCGTTGCTTTTTACATTCACACGTGAAGGCCACTGTCACATTTTTTGTTTAAATAATAATATGTCGTGTTAATAGAATTCACGTGTCAAACTATGAACAGAGAGTAACAGAAAGAATGAACCTAACATTTTCTCAATATATTTTGTATTTTGTGTTCCTCTGGGTTTATTGAGTTTGTGTAGAAGCTTGCTTATAGGATCCTAATGTTAGCATTAAAAATCCTTTGTTCCTACCATCTGATAGCAATAAGAAAACAAGAGGAAGAACAAAAATAAAGAAGATTTACAGTGATTCACTCTCAGTGTGAGAGTTATGTTCACGGCAGAGTTTCACTACAAGAAGTACAAAGAACGAAGCACAATCCTCTTTATACTCATGCCTGTATCAGTCTTTCTGTTTTTCTCTACAGAAAATGGTTGCTTTAAAAGTCCCTTACATAGCACGAGAATTGGGACAAACCAATACAAATGTTGAATACTTGAAATGCTCATGAAAATTCACACAACTCGGCAGCTAATTGTGCTTCTCATGACTTGTGATAATTGATATTCTCATCAGTTGTATTATTTGTGTTGTGTTTAGGATGAAATTCATAAGGAATACATCTCAAATTAATTAAGGTGCTATGTTAAATTTGGATTTTGGGCTTATTATTATTGTGTTGTTGCTCGATGGTTTGCTTCTTGTGTCTTGTTGTTTTGAATTCAGGTGTGGCCGATCGATGTTAACCTGAAATTTTTGGAACCGGTTGGGCGAGAGCTTAAGTTGATTGGAAAGGTAAAACTCTGATTTGTTTTCTTTGGTGACAAACTTATGAGAACAACCTTTGTTCATCAATTAAGAGGACATAATTTGCTGAACGCCTTAAAATAATTTGTTTTAGCACTATTCGCTTGAAAACCAGAGGGTTGTGGAAAGATAAAATTGAACAGGGATGTGTGCACATCATGTTTGTCAAAACAAAGTTTCAAGAGAAAGAAGTTGCATAAGAAAGTGATCGCGGGCTAGCTCTTTAGCATAAGATCTTTGCTTTTCGATATTTTCTGTATGTTGTGGTTGTCTTTTCTAATTTCTCAGCCATTACGTTCTTAGTTTTTGGCGTTGATCTTATGATGAATGCATTTGTTATCTCTTATGCTGCAGTTCATGGATGATGCTGTCAACCTTATGAACAAATCGTTTATAGATCGTTAATGGCACGGACTTCCGGCTATGAAAAAGACAGGTCCCTGAACAGTTTTGGATCAAGTTTTTTGTTTGTTGTTATTATTCTTGTGATCAACATGAAAGCGTAACTAGGAAGAGTAGCTATAATATAAAGGAGATCTGTCTAGCCTTTGTTTCTTGCTTATGCTTTCTGAGGCTTATCACTCTTGTTTTGGCTATAATTGTTCCGTATAAGTTTTCTTGTTAAATATTTATAATAAGGAAATACCTTTATTATGTAAAGTTCAAATACATGTTTGCTGAAGCAAGTTCGAGTTGCACTCTAGTTTTCGTATTTTCAAGCCCCGTTCACTTCGCTGATTCGAGTTTAGAATTCGAGTTTTTTTACAGTAAAAAGCTCTCACAAACAATCACATCTAACTTTTTTACTACAGTAAAAACTCTCACATAAAATCACATCTTAACTCGAATTTTAAACTCGAATCAGCGAACTTTCTGAAGATTTCCCATCAAAATTCAAGTTTCTGCAACTCCTTCCCATCATACTGGATGGTAGTAGACAGATAATAATGTTTACATGTCCAACCAAAATATAAGTGAACTATTGTGATATGATGAAGATGATTAAGGAACACTTGGGATACACTAGAAATAAATCCAAATACGTTGTCCAATTGCTGTTCTAAGATAATATGATGTCATTTTCTGGTTGAGCAGTGACTTTTGGGAAAAAAAAAGAATAATAATAATGAAAACTGTAGTGATTAACATGGAGAAACATACGTGATCATCAGCATATATCAAGGTCACATTTGATCCATATAATAGATTTAGAAAAAAAAAAAAAAACAAATAATATAGGAGCATAGAAAATCTACTCAAAGATTCAAATCTTGGTCCCCTTTCCTGCGTACCTACTAAAACATTATCTTGTCGTTTATCTTTACTATTCTATAGCTCCTCCTCTGCTAACTTTCCATAACCGGTAGAGACAAATCTATCTCTAAACTTCAATATTTTAAACATAATTAGTGATCTTCTTTGTGTCATGAAGGCCAACCTTGGAAAATGAAGCCAACAAAACAAAGGTGACGCAACAAACAAAGATAGAACTGCATACATATCCCATATCCTTAGCTTAAGGAGAAATTATTGGTGACATTCATGTGTTGATTGGCCTAAATATTAATTGGATTATAAAGCTTAATAACACTTCCGAGTGGGGGTGGTCTAGCGGTAATGGACTAACATGTTGGGTCTATGGTTAAAAATTTAAATATTGGGCGACTCACGTTGAGGATCTTAAATACGAAGGTTTGTGTCTGCTAATTTAGTACTCGATTTAGAGTTTCTGGGACCACAACTCTACGTACCTTTATTGCCAGCACATTCAGTTTAGAGACAGAGTCTTGTCAGTGTTTGGAGTCCTTTTTGTAACGTCCAACGATATGCGAAACCCTGCTGCCCCTTTCCAGACTTTTATTTTTTTTTTAAAAAGTCCTTATTAACACAAATATTATGTAAGCCAAATGGATTGGTGGAGTTCCCACAAACTAGTGTTGTCCACCTAGCAACTCTTGCCAAGCGAGTGTTTCTGGTCACTCTCTTTTCTCTATTTCTCTCGATCTCTTTTTGGCTTTTTTTTCCCCACCAAATCTTTGCCACACTTTTTTACATATAAAAGGGACTTTAGAACTCACCACTTTGTCGCAAAACAAAATGGCATACCAAGAAATAGCCATGCAAAGAGAAGAAGGAGAAGAACTGCGCAAAGGGACTTGGCTTGAAGAAGAAGATGAGAGACTCATCTCTTTTGTGCAACTTTTGGGGGAGCGAAGATGGGATTCTTTAGCAAAAGCTTCTGGTATTTTTCTTGATGATTAATAGTTCACAAAACTACATAATATAATGAAACATATTATTGAATATGTTTTTGCAAATTGCAGGTCTGAAAAGGAGTGGTAAGAGTTGTAGATTAAGGTGGTTAAACTATCTTCGGCCGAATCTAAAGCATGGCCAAATCAGTATTGAAGAGGAGAATATCATCCTTGAACTTCATGAAAGATGGGGTAACAAGTAAGGTTCTTTGATACTATTTAAGCTTCAAAAGTACTACTTTCACAAAGCCACCACTGCTGATCTTTAAGTATTGCTTACGTTTTCTTTTAGGTGGTCGAAAATCGCTCGAAGGTTCCCTGGAAGAACTGATAATGAGATAAAGAATTACTGGAGAACTCACTTGAGAAAGAAACTAGCACAAGGTCAAGAAGGTGCAGGAACTATTTCTATACACTTTTTTTTTACTAGTGTATAATTGGTATTATTGACTGATCATTATCTACTCAAAAATAAAAAAATTTCTGTCCTTCAGGAAAATCCCAGTATGAATTAGAGAAGGCCAAAGGAGATTTCTTGTTTGAGACTAAAAATGAGTCAAGTGTTCCGAAAAGTACTTGTGAAAGTAGTACTCATGGTGATCATGGTTCGGTCGAGGACTTATGGGGAAGCTGCAGTTGGGATAACTCTTCTGAGGCTTCTGGGATGTCATCAGCTGACTTTGCATTGACAAGCTCGCCGTACGAAAACCGCTTATCAGATTGGATATCGGAGTATTCGAACGACATTCAGAGCGAAATGAACTACCAAAATGACTCTATCAGCATAGAGTCTGCAAGTTCTTATCTGGAATGTTGGACTGCTCCTGATTATTCTTACACATGGGACTGTTCAGGTTCCTTATGGGACATGACTTAAGTAAAAACTTCACAAATTGATCCCTAAAGTGTACAATGTAACTTTGACTTGTGAATATGAATTAGAAGCTTCAAACTGTAAAAATAGCGTGTCATATTAGTATATTTTCAGTTGTTTTTGGCATGTTTGAGATTATATTCTTAATGGCAAATGATTGCAGTAAATTAAGGCCAAAGATTTAAAAAAAAAAATCCATACATAGTGTGAAGAGAAGTTGAGTTTGCTTTTTCCGCTTTATGCATATACCAAAAATGGTATGAGATCGAATGGAGAAGTTTCTATAATTAGACTAATCAATATAGTATTAAAAAGAAATTAAGAGGTAGCATAAATTAAAAAAAAAAATTAAGGAAAGGGAATAGATAAGCAAGTTTGACGTCACTCAACAACGTGGAACTCTTTTCTTTAGACTATTCTATGTGCTTATCTTGCAGCTAATGTCTGGTGATGATCTTAGCCTGATTATATTGGAGTATGCTAATTAAGAATACAAGATTTTCACATTTGTTCTACATCAGAAGAAGTCATCAATCAGTTAACTAGGGTACTCATTTCTCTTTCCTTTTTTTTTTTTTTTTTTTTTGAGATTAACTAGAGCACAACACAAATCATTAAAACCAATCATTAAAGTGAGAATCTCATTCTTAGTCTTCGAACTATAGGCCAAATTCTATTTTGGTAGGCCCCGTTCTTTTCGCTGATTCGAGTTTAGAATTCAAGTTTTGCTACAGTAAAAAGCTCTCAGAAACAGTCACATCTAACTTTTTGTCTACAGTAAAAAGCTCTCACATAACATTACATCTCAACTCGAATTAGCGAACCGAACGGGCAATAAATCATTCTAAATTAGTCCTTTCATCTTAAATTTCAATGAAAAAGACACGTGAGGATCATGTGAGACTCAATGGGAGTCACTGTAATTTTATATGTTAGGGTACTACTGTTAAGAAGGAAATCATACGTTTTCCTTTGAGATTTCAACAATTGAATAGACGAAATGATTAATTTAGGACAATTTGATAGATCATGAAATTGAGTCAAAATTTAAAATGGAATTTAGCCTGTAGTTCGGAGACAATAATGTGATTAAAGTTTAGGCTTATGAACATGGATTTATCACAATTGTAAATTCATGATTGAATTGGGGGTTTTTTTTTTTTTTTTTTAGCAGTATCTATACTTGGACCACTTTCAAAACCAAGTGGTGATTGTGTAAAATAAATGTATAATGATATCATCAACTGTTTCTGAGGTATTAAGAGGCATGCAATGGCCAATAACACAGATCTAAGCTAGATTTAGACCAAGTGGTGATTGTGTAAAGTGAACAATGATTATATGTTTTCAACTATTTGTGAGGTATTAAAAAAGGCCTGTGAATGGCCAAAAACACATCACTTTTTTTTTTCTTTTTTTTTTTTTTTTCCCGAATGGGATAACATATTACATTTGCATGCTTCTATATTATGTAAGCTTCAGAAGGATTCTCAAGGTTTGAACAATTGTTTAGGTTTAAATTTGTTTACAAAAAGTAAAAAATAATTTGAACTTAGTCCAACAAAATTAGTATTTGTTTAAAAAGAAAATATTCATGTTTTGAACCCTAATATGATGTTTTAACTATCTTGAACTCCAAAAAATAAGACTTAAGTACTCTCTTATTGGTTTTAGCCGGTTTAAACTCTAAGTTCAAATCACACATGATTCAAACTCAAAAATTCATAGTTTAAACTTTAAATCAAACTCCACAATTCAAAACTCATACAGTTCAACTCAAAAGTTAGTTTGAACGCTCATACCAAACAGATCTTTCATGTTTTTGGTCGAGCATAATATAAGATATTACAAGATAATATTATCCATTTAGCAACTAGATTAATTATGATATTGTGCGAGCAAACACTGGCCTACAATAAAAGGGTCATGAACAATAAGGCTTCATAAGATGTCAGACGGCTTAAAAACGACAAAAAAGATTAGCCCCATAATTCGTGTTTTGTTAAAAAAAAAGAAAAAAAGAAAATGGAGGGGCTGAATTTGGTATCAATAACCTACCTAGGTACGTCACATTCTATCGACATATCTGGCAAGACTAGTTGTGTATTTATTTATTTCGTAGGTTAGATTGAATTATTATATGTAAGTCCAAACAGTACTTTAGAACTTGATAATGTGTTGGTTAATTAATTTTATATTTTGAGATTGGACATGAACTACATGGAAACTGCGTCATCTTTTAGCCATACTAAAATATAGTAGCTTGTATTCTCTTCAACTAATAGTAGCTTAACTTGGAAGGAAAAAGGGGCAAAAAAAAAAAAAAAAGGAGCTTTTTCTTTGGTTTATATATATGTTTATGTTTAGGCGTTTTATGAAATCGCCCCATATATTATGACTATGTCTTGTACCTTTTTTCTTTCAATTTACTATTCTTAAACTCCGTTAATTTTACCGATTTGAGTTTTGCTACAATAAAAAATTTTAAGAAACAATCACATCTAATTTTTTTACTACAGTAAAAAACTCTTACATAAAATCATATCTTAACTCGAATCAACGAACTAAACGGACCCTTAAACTTTAACTCGGTACACAATATATTGAAAACATCTCACACACTTAAAAAAATTTGAGAATTTCTCTAGTAGGAGTACACAATATATAAAAAGAAAATTATCTGTTTTGTATTTTTTTTTTAATTTATTGTGATTTTAATCAAATTTAACAGTTAAAAATGACCTACTAGAAGTTTGCTAAAGATTAATTGAGCTTGCCTCCATCGGCTTAAATGAGTCTTGAACCTTAATTTTACATGAAACTCACCATTATGTTTAAACATTTCCCATCGCGTGGATTTGGTACGACATTTCATTTGACTAATTGGTCATTAACAAGTGGAGGAAAAAAAAAAGAAAAAAAAACAGAAGAACTATTAGTACCCATTTTCAAAACCACTTTTATGGTTTCGTAAAATAAAAAATGAAGTGAAACAAGAAAAAAAAAAAAATTTGTGTGGTCGCTCAATTTTCTAAATTAGTATTTTAATTTAGTTTATGCTTCACATTTATTTTCAAAACGGGTTTTGACAACAGGACCTTTAATCACTGATTTCAAAATTTTAATTCAAAAAACTAATAATTTCAAAACACAAAAAAAAAAAAAAAAAAAAAAAAAAAAAAAAACGCGAACCGAAATCTAATCTTTACCATATGAGTATTTTTTTTAACAAGAAATTAACAATTGAGTTAGATGAAGAAATTGGTAGATAGCACAACTTTCAGCTGATCTACCAAATACAAGAGCAGATTTTCTGCAGTGATTTTTTTTTTTTTTTTTTAAAGTAAGCTAAGTGAAACAAAAATCTCATATTGTCACAACTTATTTTTGATGATAAATTGATGGGTGTTAGGGAAATCATACCAAAATAACAAGCATGAAAATGATAACGATAAGGACAAAAGAGTAAATGTAGATGAAGGTGACATAGAAATGCTTTTTCCAGACATATCATCCGTATAATCTGGGCCTGATCCCAAACCATCTGTACCACCATTTGGTCCTGTGCTCCACATCCCCAAATTGTTGTCCCTGAAAATTCAGATTTTGCATTATTTTGTTCATCTCTCATATATTATGCATAGTCCTTTCTTTCTTTGTAAAGAATTGTATCAATTTCATATTATTTACCATATCTTGTTGACTTTGGTTCAATCATGGACAAACTATCTATTAGGATTAGAAAATGCAAATATGATTGATGATGGTTACGTTACATAGTTTTACAACGATCTCTAGGGTAAATACCAATATCAATGCTATGTTGAGCACTAAAAAGTGTAAAAACAACATATTTGATGTGCTAATTTATTTTGTTCTCTAGCATAGTTTATTCTAAATGCTATATTTAATTTTTGGTACAACTATATAGGCCTCGTTCATTTCATCGATTCGAGTTTAGAATTCGAGTTTTGCTACAGTAAAAATCTCTCAAAACAGTCACATCTATTTTTTTTGCTACAGTAAAAAGCTTTCACATAAAGTCACATCTTAACTCGAATTAAAAACTCGAATCAGTGAACTAAACGGGTCAGTCTTTTTATAAATAGATTTTTATTTTGAAATAATTAAAAAATGATGGTAATTTAATTTTTGTCAAAATTTAACAAATGGCGGATTGCGCACACAAGATATGGTTTGAGTTTTGATATGCGTGTTAGAGGGATTTAGGTGTAAGAAGTTACTGTTTAGTTTGCTGATTTGAGTTTTTAATTCGAGTTGAGATGTGATTTTATATGAGAACTTTTTACTATTACAAAAAAATTAAATGTGACTATTTCTGAGAGTTTTTTATTGTAATAAAAATTAAATTCTAAAATCGAATCAATAAAATAAACGTGACCTTAGAATCATGATGTTATTTTCAGACGTGTTCTTCTCCCCCAAAGAATTGTTGGTGGAAATGAATATGTTTAAATGACAACCAATAACAATGCATAATAATACTAAAGTTCGACAATCAAATCAACAAACACGTGTAATTTTTTTAATATGTCCGATATAACATAATTGGTACGCGTGACATTAGAAGTGTGTGTATGGCATTATGGTTCATGTTTATTGTGGAAGTAACTATTAATGGTCATATCACCGATTGATGATGAGAAAATTTGTCTTTCCTTCAAGATTGATTCCGACTAATGAGTAAAACATGTTGGTCCAAACTCCAAACACATTAATTGGAAAGATGCCATCAGCCAGCCTAGACCCCAACTTTGGATTTTGAAAATTTATTGTTGTGTACTGTTTGAGTCAGGAATTATTGAAAAGGATAAATTGCATTTTACTCCTTAAACTATGGTGTCTTTGATACTTTTACCTCTTTTAAAACTTTTTTCACCTTACTTCTGTACTTTTTAGTCTTTTACATATCAACCCTTTGCTAACTCCTTAAAGTTAGCAACAAAAAAAAAAAAAAAAAAAAAAAAAAAAAAACCCTTTGCCAACTTTTGTTAAAAGTTTTAAACTGAATTTATCATGTAAACATCCACATTGAAAATTTTTAGTCACATATGAGTTCACACGTAATTCTTTTATTGACTTATTATAATATAAAAATGGAAAATAAAATAAAAATAAAATATTCTAATAGATTTTTGAATGGTTCCTTTTTCGGCCAACTATATCAATAAAATGAAAACAAAAATGGAAAAAATCCCGATTCACTTCTTGAAAAATTCACATAGTACTTTTAAAAGACAGAAGTTAGCAAATGGTTCATATTGCATAAGAATAAAAAAAAAAAATATTGCAGATAATGTGTCAAAAGATTATGAAGGCTGAAGTGTCAAAAACACCATCATATAGGGATGAAATGCAATTTACCCCATGAACATTTCATGGTCAAGGGTGAGTTAATTAGGAGATAATCAAGAAAAAGTAAAAGGTAAAGAGAAAAAAAAATAATAATAAAGGTCCGGAAAAAAAAAAGAAATTATTAAAAAGAAGGTAAGGGGGAAAAAAAAATACCTGCTACCAACTCCAAGTGGGCCCGCGTGCATGGTGAGAAAATCGATGAGCACAGCGGACTTAGGCTCCACACTATAGGCCTTCTCGTACCTGAACTCTGCCCCCTCCCCAGAGGCCACAAAAAATGCTCCATTTACCATTATGTCCCCCTCCGATCTCCAATTCCAGTTTTTCCAATCCCCTTCTCCCGTCTCCACTCGCTTAGTCACCTGTCCATTAAATAAAAAAAATAAAAAATAAAAAGTCCATTTGAACATGAAAAATGTTTGAAGACACGCATTAAGCACTATCACTAATAATAAGAGATAAGTTTTACTTCTAGATCTTATGTTGTGAGACCCATCTTCTATTAGCCGGTGACACTGAATATGAACAATTATGATAAGAGTACGTATTTCTTAACATAGCATGTATAATTCTCCTCTTTTAAAATATTTTAAAGTTTTTAAAGACATGAGTGATAATATATGTCTACTATATGACAAATATACTAGAAAGGGAAAAAAAAAAAAGAGAAAATTTTGCATTCTTCTTTTACCATCAAATCACTTAAAGTAAGATCAAAAGAAAAATAATATGAAAATTTAACGAAACTTAATAAAAGAATTTGATAGCGACAATGCAATACTGCATAATGTTAATTATATTCGATTTGGCTTTTAAATAAAAACATAAAAAGAGTAAAATAAAAAAGAAAAAAAAAAGAAAAGAGACCTCTTTGGCATTGCGATCTGAAGGCGCGGTGTAGCGATTGCCCTGACTATTGATAGTAGGGTTACCACTACCACCAATGGCATACATCTCCCACCTTGTGAAGTCATTGTTGACGACATGAATGTAGCCTCGGCGGCACCGGGGCATGCGCTGCACCAACTTTTCCCCGAAGTGGTTGAAAGCAATGGTGACCTGCATGCCAGAGTCGGGGGTGTAGTCGTCGCTGTGGCCGAGCAACATCACCTCGTTGTGGTGGGAGAAGAAGTTGTTGGATATGGTGATCCCCGTAGAACCCATCACCGCGTCAATTAGCCCGTCCTTGCATCGTGACAACGAGCAGTGGTCGATCCATATGTCTTTTGAGCCAAAAATCGAGATCCCGTCACCGTCCGATTTTGTTCTCCATCCATAGTGTGTGGGGCTCGACCGCACATCAGCCTCACCTTTTTCACAAACACATAAAAATGTTAAAAACTTTTTTTTTTTTTTGGTAAAATAAACCTGATAAAAATCTAACAGTCCATCATGTACAAAATTAATTAATTAAGTAGTGAAAAACTTTATAGTTCTACTATTAAGGGATTCTAAAATATTACTCTTGGTAAGTTGATAAAAAAAAAATTTGAGGGTTAAATAGTGGTGGTGTCTTTTTCTTTTAATACCAATATACCTAAAAATAGGATTGTCAAAATATCAACATGAAATTTTCACTTTTCTTTTTTGTGCGGTCCATTAACTTTAGGTAGGCCACTGGATTTTTTTGTGGTGTTGGTTGGGGGCAAATTCATAAAGGGGAAAAGGAAAAAAAACAGAGAGAGAGAGAGAAAAGAAAAAAGGAAAATTGCTGCTTTACCATAGTGGATAAAATCTCCTAGACCGAGCACCTTATAATATACTAGATACTAGAAATTATCTATTTAAATACACACACACACTTAAAAGAAGAGAAATTTAAAACATGTTCGTCAAATTTAAGGAAAGAAAATATGAACAAAATTTCATGAAAGAGAGTTTGAGAAATGCGAGTGGTGTATATTATTTACCTGAGGAATAGCAATGATGAATATGTATATTGTGTATAATGACATTGCTTATATACTGCAATGTGACGCAACCACCACCCACAATGTGGACATTGGCTCCACGTCCATCCAAGGTCTTGTAGCTGTTGAAGATGAGCTCTTGAGAGAGCCTTATGAGCATGTTCTCCGGGAAAACAATCCACAGCGGCTCCGGCTGGATAACTGCATACCGCAGAGTCCCCGGCCTAGGGTTTACAGCGTCGTCGTCGGAGCTGTCGGTGACAATATAGTACTGGCCATTCTTGCCGCCGAGAGCATACTGCCCAAACCCAATTGCGCAGTCTGCAAGACGCTGCCGGTTGTTGGGCCACTCAGGGTCGCATTTCCAGCAGTCATCGATCGGGTTACCGGTCAGGCATGAGGATTGGTCTTGATCTTGAGACGTTTGTAGCATTTGCCTTCTTGCTATGGAAGCATTTACTTTCCTAAAATTGAAAATCAAAAGTAAAAATAAAAAAATAAAAAAAAAACAAATGTTATAAGAAAATATTTGTACATACATGTTTAATGTGTAATGTAGGTAAGATGAGATAGAAAGCAACCAAGTATCTTATGTAATGAAAATGTGTCTTGAAGATGTACAGCGTATATATATATCTATATAAATTGTTCACAGCTCAAAACAACGTAATAATGTACTCCAAATATACAAGAGGAAGTCAAGAGATCTAAGAGGCAGAGAGTGTTTTGATGAGTGTTGTACAAAGCATATATATATATATATATATAAATATATATAGATTGAAAAACCTGAAAAGAGCAAACTAATAAAGCTTACTAAAAGGGTTGTTGCTATTTTGTACCTATGAACTTCAAGAACGACCTCGTCAGGGTTGGGATGCTGACCAGGAATTAGAGTGAGGTTGAAAGTGGCGCCACCAAATGAGCTCAGAAGAACTATAAATACAATAATTATTAAGACAATGCAGGTTCTTCCAGGCATTTTTGATGAACCAAGTAATACTAATAATATAAGTACAAGCTGGAGTGGTGAACTAATATCTAGATATTTTGAGATATATTAGTTCACTAACCAGAAGAAGTTTCTACTATTCTTGTACTTGAAAGATGAAGTTAGAGTAGAGTAAATGAACCATGTTTTACAAACAGTTTTTTGCTTAAGACAATCTGGTATATGAATTAGAGCGTTTGTCCGTCCTCTCTCTCTCTCTCTCTCTCTCTCTCTCTCTCTCTCTCTCACTGTGCCCACTAGTATCATTTCAATCTTTATTTATAATCATTGTCATGGACTTTTCATATAAATATTCACTCACGAGGTAAAAGTGTTCAAGAAAAAGAAGAGTGTGCGTTTGAGAAATTAGAATTCCCGCCTGGTATGGAGGGGAGTGGTCTCCAATGTACCTTTGTGTTTTTTTTTTTTTTTTTTTTTTTTTTTTTTTTTTTTACATATTTTGTTCAAAAAAATATTTGTTTTGTTGGGTATTGTACGAGCAGAGTGAGGGATTTATATTTTATTGGGTCTTAATTAAAAGATGGAATTACTATGTCACCATAGTGATTAACTCTAAAACGACTTTATGGGTACTTCTAATGACATTGATGACGTGGCATAGTTTTATTGGGCCGTTAAATCTAGTTTCATGCAGCATGGATAAAGGCTAGTAAAGTTGCAATTCTTGAACTTCAAAAATTAATTAAAAAAAAAAGTTGTATGCAGGAAGACTTTTTGACTTAAAAACAGTCTAAAGCTACCTAATTGAAGCTATAACCACACTTCTGGTTTACACTAATTTTTTGGGTATACGTTCAGTTAAGAAAATATCACTTTCCTTTTTTTTTTTTTATAATGAAATGCCATGTAATCCATTCTTACTCAAAACCTACTATTTTTAGTTTTATTTATTTATCAACTCCTATTTTTTAGTTGGCATTTATTTGTAACCTCATTGCCGGCATCAAAAGAGATAGAGAAGGAGAGAGGAGAGGAAGAGTCAGAGACTAGGGATTAGGGGGAAAAAAAAAGGTTAACCATTGGTTTACTCACCAGACATAAAGTAAACCAGTAGTTTACTTAACTCTTCGTCATTTGGTTTTTAAAAACAAAGTTAGAGATGGACAAGAAAAATAAATAACCATCCGATTCCTTTAGATAAATATTGGAAATTTCATGGTAAAAACTACCGTCACTACGAGTTGTAGCCGTTAGATTAATTTTACAATGATATAAGTTATGAGTGTCTATATTGACATAATTACTTACATTTATAAATTAAAATGTTAAAAAATTAATTCCATAGCTAAACCAGTACTAGTAACCACCCATCGGTCTAAGTGAGCATCAGTGAGGAAGTAAGAGATGATTCAACTAGTAAATTACTTGTATCAATAGATTAAAACAATATTGTTCACATAGACTATATAAACCTCAAAAGTGGTATTACCAAAAGAAAAGAAAAAAACAAATAAACCGATAGCCAGCTTCCTTTAAAGTGGTATATATGCAGTTATTTCCTTTTTTTTTTTTACAAGTAATTACGAATTCTTGTTTAATATGTAGTAACTTTTATATACAAATACAGGATAAATTAGTAAGATAAACTTTTGCAAAGAAAGAGTTTCATATGGTTCAATATCATCAATGACGACCAGTTATTTCTTCAAGTAAGATCACTATACTTTTTCCTCTCATACACTTTGATCTTTCTCTTTTGCTTTTGGTCGTTATATCTGAGCCAAATGGAGTCCTTTTCATTAGCTTTTGGAAAAAACCAGTATAAATCTAGGCCTCGTTCATTTCACCGATTCGAGTTTTCAATTTTAAGTTTTTATAGTAAAAAGCTCTCAGAAAATATTACATCTAACTTTTTCTACTACAGTGAAAAGCTCTCAAAAAATGTCACATCTTAACTCGAATTGAAAACTCAAATCCGCGAAGTGAACGAGGCTCTGTTAATAGCTACAGGATGGTACTGTGTAGAATCCAGTTCCGAAGCACAATAACTTGTAAAGTGTACACACAATATACCCCAGTAACCAATGGAGCCATAGAATCGGGGGAACAAACTGATAAGTTCCCTCATAATACATACCTTCTTTTTCAACATGAGGGTCCCACTTAAAAATTAAAAAGAAAAACAACAATAATTGAATGGATTTTACAGTAAGACCTGAAAAAATAAACTATAGTAAGTAGACGTTTAATTGATAGATTTATAATTATAATTCAGAATTATTCTTGATTTATGTGTATTTTTTATGAAAAAAAATACTGTAACGAACTACGAACCATGATCCGAACCATGATACGAATCCACCAACCAAACACACAGTCTTTATTTTTAAGGTGTCAAATATGTATCAAAAATTATCTATTATGTAGACATTTTTACTTTAATGTGACTTTAATTAGATCCAATGATGAAACACTATATTAATAGTAAACCCTACCGTAAAAAGGATTCATCCTAATAATAAAATCCCACTTTTTGTTTTCAAATTGGCTTCCATTCTCCAGTGATGACTCATTTTCTTGTCCTTTTTCTTTTCTCTTATTTTCTCTTTTCTTTTTCGGCATTAAAACTATTTTACGTACACAAAAAGATTTCCATATTTCGGCTCACAAAAATTCCGTCTTCCAGACTCTAAATTTTTATTGTCGTATAGCCCAAGTTTTCAGCTTTAACCTACAGAAGCTGGATATTTCAATCTCCGCGTGTTTTTTTTTTTTTTTTTTTTTTTTTTTTTTAAAGATTCCCTGCATATTTTTGTATTATATGAGGTTAGCGTGTTTTTTTTTTTTTTTTTTTTTTTTTTTCTGAATGATTCCCTGCATAATGTTGTATTATAGTGAGTTGAAACTTAAGTGCACAAAAACATTGCTCCAAATAATAATTTCATGCAAATGGGTGTCCTCCATAGTTGAATTTTGGTAGGAATTATGGAAGCTGTTTTCATATTCCTTTCCTCTCGAACTTGTAAAGTAAGAACTAACTGGGGCCATTTTCTTATAAAGGCTCGTCAGAAGCACCAAATCCAATGGCCTACTTATTTAGCTAGGGTTCTTGAGCTAGCTAACTTTTTGAAAACTTTGGCAACAGATTAAGAATATACCCAAATGGAAAAGAAAAACAAATCCAATCTCATAATTTCAATCCCCGTTTAGTTCGTTGATTCGAGTTTTAAATTTGAGTTGAGATCTAATTTTATGTGAAAACTTTTTACTGTAGCAGAAAAGTTAGATGTGACTGTTTATGTGAGCTTTTTACTGTAGCAAAACTCAAATCGATAAAATGAACGGGACCTTAATTTGTAAAGAAGAATTCCAAACAATATGTTTTTGATAATCTACTAATTAAATCGCTTAATGCGAGTAGATTATAGCCCTGTTCACTTCACCGATTCGAGTTTAGAATTTGAGTTTTGCTACAGTAAAAAGTTCTTAGAAATAGTCACATCTAAATTTTTTTGCTACAGTAAAAAACTGTCACATAAAATCACATCTCAACTCGAATCAGCAAAGTGAACGGCCCTATATGTTTCCACTCATTTCAAAAACTTTTACAAATACATCTTTTCCGTATTAACATGATTTTTTTTTCAATGTCCTAATAGTATTTGAGACTTTCTTTGATATGACATCTTTACTAATATGATCAATTTTTTATCATCAAATCTAGCCAGAATCACTTTAAATTGAAAAAGTATGTAAAATAAATAGTTTCTAATATAAATTTAATGACTGAAAATAAAAAATTACATATAATTCACTTTTTCTGGTTTTACCATAAAACTCCTTAAAAATCAATTAGAAATATAGGTTTTAAGGCTTTTGGATAGCATGTAGTAAGAAGAATTTTTGACAATGTATGAAAAAGATACTCTAATAATCAGTAAGATAGTTCTAAACTTGAAAAACTTGATGAGAATAACGTTGATACAACTTTCTGACATCGATTGAAGTAGATAGTAAACTAGGGTTTATGGTGGTTTCGCTTCCCCACAATGACAGGCACATGCGGTGAGTCCATAAAACGAGCCACTTTTTGACTCTTTTGTTACTGGGTGGGTCCCTCTTCTTTGACTAAAAGAAGACTGTCATGCATGGTGATGGTATTACAGGCTCCTGACCTGACGGGTGACTTTGGTGGCTTAGTGGGCTACACTTCTTTTGTGTAGAGACGTATGCATGAATGTATTAATTGGCTTGGCCAATAAAGTCAATAATAATCACGACATTTAAGCGTCCTGAGATTCAAATATGACGAGTAAGGTTAGAAAAGTACCGATAGTGTTAAACACCACGTAAATAAGTTTCATAACATGAAGTTGTAAGTAAGATTGTGTTTGGTTGGTGTATTCGTGTCATAATTTGAATTATGGTTCTTGGTTTACTACAGTATTTTTTCTCATAAAAAATATATATAAATCGAGAATAATTCTGAATCTACGAATTAAACGTCTATTTATATTCTATTAGTGATGATGGTGACTGATACCGGTGTTACTTTGAGCATTTTCATTAACAAATAAAAGATTATCCAAAAACTTTTAAAATACAAATCATCCCTAACACTTGCATTGATTTCTTCGTATCATGACCAACATATAATACCTCAAATATTGCCCATGGAAATATATACTTTCCATATAGATACACACGTAAAAAATAAATGATCACTCATTTAACATTGTTATGTTAAGCGAAAGCATTGAAATTTGAAAATGTGAAAACCTTTTTTCTAATACTCCTGTGGAAGTTCCGAAATTTTTCCACTTGTGGCTGCTGGGATTTGAGCCCAGGTCTTCACGGCCACAACGTGAAATTCTCACCACTTACAGCCACTAGGTTTAAGTTTTGAGGTATTTAGGAGACGTTTGGTTCATGAATTAAAATCATGTGATTAGAATTATTTTCGATTTACGTGTAGTTTTTATGAGAGAAAACACTGTAGCGAACCATGAGCCATGATTCAAATTATTGTTTGAATCCTCCAACCAAACATCAATTTAACTAATATAGAGAAGTACAACCATCAAAGGACACAAATCTTTCTGAGCAAGATGTAAAGAACGACACATTTTATTTGACAATTATTCGGGGGTCAGAAAGTG